CGTGACTAGCTAGGTTAATTTCTCCAATGATGGTATGGTAATTAAGCAGAGAGTCGCACCGTTGTATGGGAAATTAACCCCTGACCGATTCAGTTAATCAGTCATTAGACTGACAACTCATGAGTTGATTTGTGAGTCTTTTTGATCAATTTACCTAAAAGAACCAGTTCATAAGAGTAATTTGTCCATAAATCAGACAACATCGGTTGTGCTGTATGTTGTTGCGATCGGTCAGCGAGAACAGCGAGATCTTTTATTATATTCGATTCAGACCACAAACTCTCAACTAGAACAATTTCTTTGGCTGTGGTGCTGCAGATTGATGAAAGATTCACGCAGATTCACTGTTTCGTATTAAAAAGTATTAATTGGTGTTCAAGAACTGAACAGAAACGAACGCCGTGAAAAACATTAACAATGTAACCGATTCCAAAACGTAGTTAGCAATGATTGTTTATTCTTTGCGGATGTAGTAAACTCTGATCTAGCCCATGACCGATTCTAGTTCTGTGACAGACACATCCACTGATCTGATCGTCGTTTAGTGACCCGTCCCACCCAAACCCTGCCGGTTTTTATGGTGTTCTTCTGTCACTGACGGATATTTGCACTGCCAAAACAATGTCTGCTGCCAATCTTAATGTCAATCCGGTGTCCACCAATGCCATAAAAACCCTCAAGGCCTTTGCTTCAATCCATCTGGCCCGCTTAAACCACTCTGGCGTCCTCTAAGCTCAGATCCTGAGCCCGGACCCTTCAAACCTACCCAGAAATCTCTACTACCCCTCATCAATCTCTCCCCATGTCTCTCCCCACTCCACATGTCTGTTCATTGTTCTGTGTCTCTCTTGGTGTCCCGTTGCCCTGCGCAGAGATGGAAGCGTGCAGCAGGCACGTCGAGGCGACAGCAGGGCCCGCCACTGCTGCAGCATATGAAGGAGGATGAAGATGATGATGATATTTGTGATGAAGAAAAAGACACTGAGGCTCAGGGACATGCCATCCAAGTCTCCATAGGCGTGTCCACAGAGGAAGAGGCCCGTGTCTGCCAGCTGTACCCAGTGGCACTGCATCGCCCCCGTGTCTCCTTCCTGTTGAGCAGCCTGCTGGTCCTGACGCTGATGCTGTGGTGGCTTGTCTTCATTTGAGAGACAATAGATATCAGGGAGACAGCAGCCGCTCTCAGACTAATCTTATCTGGATTATAAGACAATAAGGAGGTAGAGAGGATGAGGTCCTTCCTGTTTTTCTGTTTGTTTCCTCTGGGACTCTTAATGATTTCACCATTTCACAGTGGATGTTGATTGACAGCTTATAGTTTTAAACTATTTACGTCCTGTGACACAAAAACCCTGGATGCAAGAGCACTATGTTATCTTAATAGGACATAACGATTTATTTATCATTCACTTAACGTTTCTCTGGCTTTTCAGATTTCCTTAATTTTGAACTCACTGCTTGAAATAACCATTCAGTTTCAGTAAAATTTAACAGTGTTTGCAAGATGAGTTTGGATTAAATTAAATCATTCTTATTATTTTTCTTAATTTTCTGCAATTAATTAAGTGCAAACCATTTACCATACAGACTAAAATTAAAACTTTGACTTCTAGATCATTTCAGGTTTAAGTGTTGTTTTTGTTAACATTTTGATTTTAACAGTAAACAATTATTATTTTGGAAATGTCCCACTGACTTACCATTCAAAAGTTTGATATCAATATAAATACTATATAAAATAAATAAATAGATAAATAATATACTGCTTTTATTCAGCAAGGATGCTTTAAATTGATCAAAAGTGACAGCAAAGACATCATTTACATTGTTACATCAAATGTATTTTTCTAGTAAATGCTGTTTTATTGAACATTTTATTTATCAAATAATATTGGGGGGGTTCCACAAAGATATTTTGCAGCATAGCTATTTTTAACATATAGACAATTTAAATATAAATAACATATAAATAAATAAAAATATAAATATGTTGTGTTGATGATCATCAAATCAGCATATTAGAATGATTTCTGAAGGATCATGTGACACTGAAGACTGGAGTAATGATGCTGAAAACTCAGCTTTGATCACAGGAATAAATAATTTTTTTTAATAAATTCCAATAGAAAACAGTTATTTTAAATTGTAATAATATTTTACAATATTACTGCTTCCCCCCCCCAAAATAAATGTGCATAAAATAATTATTTAAAAAAACATTCAAATATCCTGGTAGTGTAACAGTAGTGTAAAATATTTGAGAGATACGTTTAACTGATAACAATGATGTTACCCTAGTATTTGCATACTAAATTTTGAGCGGTCTTTTTATGCATTTATTTGTTTACCGATTTGTGATTGGTCTTTCGATTATGCACAAACAAAGACTAAAACCTAAGCTTACTAGCTGAACTTTAACCATTTTTTTGCTACCTTGCAAACACTGTACTTCCTCCAGTATGTGCAAATGTAGTTGTAGCTTTTTTAGTTTTTATGTTATTCATACATCACCCTGTGACCACTGGATTTCTCTGGACAACTTTTCAGCACACGTTGCACTTTGCTTCTCTTTGCAGATATAAATCTCTTCTCCATTGCCAGCCGATGCATAATGAAAGTGACGATTTCTATAATACCGCCAAAAAAGTAGTCTACTTCTTCGTGAAGTGTATTTATGTCGTATCAGCCCTTAGTAGATCAGCATATCAGGGCTTTAATTACACACCCCACAAATATGATCCTGTTTCTCCTTCTATGGGACTCCAGCATGCTTCAAAAACATCAGTACTACTGTCATGCTAGCTTTAAATGAGTTTTCCATGTACAACAATCACAGCCTCTCTCTCTCTCTGCAATGAGTGACAGCATAATGCATAGTGATAGAAGGAAGAGATTGTGATTTTATGTTCATCAATTTATGTATTGTAGTTTTTTTTTTTTTTTTTAATATGCATTTAAGTAGCTTTATTTACAGTATCTCTAAAAAAATACTTTTACACATTTGCACTTCTGTGAACTTTAGTCAGAGTAGATGCCATATTTAATTTGACACAAATTGTGGATGTGCACAATTTTGTCAGTGGGTACACTTCGTTCTTGTTTAATAGGTTGTCATAGACCATCTGTTTTTTTTTTGTTTTTTTTTTACATATATTTCAAATACTGATTTTGATTTGCTTCAAGTGATATAAAACATCTGCTCTGACTAAGCTCCATTCCATGATAAAGACAATCCAAGGTACAATCAATAAATTAAAAAAATATATATTTTCTATGAAGTCATTTGCACATCTTGAAATCGTTTCAGATGTACATAAAAGTCTATTCATTTCAAGTTGCAAGCTCAAATGTCTGAAATTCCCTAATGTTGCTTTTATTGTGCACTCTGAAATCGCCATATCCACTGCAAAAACTAATTTTCTTAATTATGATCTCTATGATCACAATATATTTTGTGATTTCTTGGTTACAGCCAAATTATCTTTATTTCCAGACAAACTGCAACTGCTTTATTGATGCTTGTAAGAAGACAGGAAAATGTATGTCTAATATTCCAAAATATTCATAATTAATCCATTTTTCCTCAGTCTAACTGAGAGCATGTAATCCATTCAGTATGAACGCAGCGTATGAAGATTTTTCTTTTGCAAGAGATTTTGTGGTTCCCTGGATGGTAAGGATATAATCCAAAACTGTTTTCCAAAAAAAAGTACATAATCTCAGACTAATTAGATTTTTCAGCCTTTGCCTTTTTTCTCCATTATCTTATTAGGTGGGTTCAAGGATACTTGAGAGTTTTTAGTTTCTGAGATTGAGCGCTTCAGTTCCTCTGTAAATGGCTTTTCTGCTAGTCTTTGGTTTCTTTTAGCTAATGATAGACTACTTTGAATGACTTTAGTTTGGCCCTTTTTAAATGCACTAATAACTATGAACGGAGACTTGCAGACTGATGCGAGTCGTCACACCGAGCTCTTCTTTTGAAAGCATCACATGGTGAGCCCATGATTTGGCTTGAATTGGTCGTCCCATCATCATCTGTCAACCTGACATCGCCATTATTGGATGAAATTAATATTTGACTTACAATGTGCCAAATGTTCCTAAATCAAAAGCTTTTTTGGCCGAGCGCCTGTAGATAAAATATTAAAAAGCAAAACCATACTAATTTGTGATGATTTTGAAATGCATAATCTTCATATCAAGCGTTGTGGGTAATAGGAATAGGCGCGATGAAGGCTTCATTCAGGTCCTCTCAGTCATGAGGATGTATGTAGTTTTGGAATAAACACTCCTCACTCTTAATGGATGAGTGTTTGTGGAGCTTCCTGATAGATTTTGCTCCACTTCTGTGAAGCAGAATTTCATTCCAACTGAGACTCATTTTCCTGGTAATTTACATTAATATACTTATGTTGTGAGCAATATCATGCCATCTTTTCTTAGGCTGCGTATCCAGAAGTAGCTGGGAACTGTTCCTGTATTACTCAATATCAAAATTGCAATATCATAGATTAATTGTAGTCGATATCGTGATTGCAATATGTTTGATTAATTGGACAGCACTGATTTCAGTACACATTTCTCTGAGTTTAATATTAACTCAGCTGGGTGGCAAATTTATACCACTTTTGTTTAAGAAATCCAGTCAATAGAGATAGATATATTTACTCTTTTACGCACCATTAAAGAAATTGATTTGATTGGAAAGGGTGATAAAGTACATATGAAATCATTGAAGTGGCTGTATTTTGTATCTGTTCTAGCCCATTGTTGTTGTTTTTTTTGCCAACCATTCAAAGTCTCACCAGGCTAAGCATTTTTCTTGTCTAGTAGCTTTTTTTCTGAGGTAGTCAGCACAGAATATCAATCTTACAGTACAAAGGCTTGGCCAAAGGTTCCAGGTGGTGTTTGGTAATTGCTTATGTGTGTGAGGTGAAGTTAATGTAGTGAGAAAATCGATTCTCTGCTCACTCTCCACTGTGTCTTGACCCCTCTCACAGTCTCCTGTGGTGAAGACGAAAACGATCACCATTTCTGATGTCACCAACTCCCTTCGCAGCGAAATCGCCAGCAAGGACATCCCGATTGTGCATACAGAGACCAAGACCATCACATATGAGTCCGCACAGGTGAGCCCGGTCGCTCTTTGAATCAACCTTGTTGCTGTGTGTTGCTGACATCATTTTTGATTAGTCTTTTGCTGTGCCAGTGTTTCCATATGCCACAAATGGAATGAAAAATGAATTGGGATGCAAAATATATCAGCATCAATACATGTTGGTAACCACATCACCCAGTAGAAGGGATTTTGTTAATAATCAAACGTTAATAATCAAGCATTGGTCGATATTGGATGTTTATTTGGATTTTGGTAGCAGTGCACGTATCGGCACACATCTGTATTCAGAACAGAATATATTCAGTTTTTGTTGTAATCTGTTGCAGTGCTGTCATTTTCACAGTGCATTTCTGAGCGAGTTTAGCTAATCATTAAGATCTATTAGTTTTCTCTCTTTGAGCTCTACTATATAACCCGAGGCCAGTTTTTAAAAGAGTTTCTAACCAGCATACCAGAGGTCCACTGCTGTAATAATGAGGGCTTATTTTTTCATTCTTTCAAAAATAGATCAGATTACAGAAGAAAAATCACCTATCTTTCATACTGAATATTATAATGCCTGAATTCACTTGCTGGCTGCGCTATTTTACAGTAAACTCACAGTGTACATACCCAATATGAATGCGCAACAGGACTGTTAAATAAGTGTAATAGGTAAAAAAAAAAATATAAATCTGCTAACTCACTTTTAGCATATAAAAGTTATAAAACATTTTTTCTCTTTCTTCGTCTTCTTTCTTCTTCTTTTTTTTCTCCCCCAAGCCAAAGATTTACACTGATTTACAATATCATATCAGCTATTGTCAATACTAAAAAAATTAACTTTTTGGCTTTTTTGGTTTGGACAGAATTTCTATATAATAATACATTTTTTATTATTTTAGTAGGAAACATCTGTTTTATTACGAAGACCCTAAAGGTACAGAGTGATGGGGAAAAAACTTATTTCATTTATTAAGAAATATATATTTCAATGCTTTTGCATACCCCAAGAAACTTTGCATTCGTTCACAAAACTTTTGTGCTCTCTCGAGAAACTTGACCTCCTGCAACTGAACACAAAACTGCTGATGGATGTGCACTCTCAGAAATAAAGGTACAAAAGCTGTCACTGGGGCAGTACCTTTTGAAAAGGTACTAGGATGTACCATTTTGGTACTAATATATACACTTTAGATACTAATATACCTTTAATGTACTTACATGCGTCCTTTAGGGGTAAATAAGGTACCAATGTGTACCTTTTGAAAGGATACAGCACCGGTGGCAGTTTTGTACCTTTTTTTCTGAGAATGTGGGAGAAAAAACTATATTTAAATTATTTAGTGAGAAAATGCAAAACGAGAACCCACAAGGTCTGCAAGCAAATGCAAAATCATTGAAATATAATTTTTCCTCCCATTTCTTGTTGTGTTTCCCCCCCCTCAAATAGCTTTGGGTGGAAGTGATAAATGAGGGATGTAATGGAAGAGTGTTCTAAGCACATGTGTGTTTGTTTGCTAATAGCCCAACGCGGTGTCAGAGAAGGAGTCTGGGATGCTGTTGAGTGCTCAGACCATCACTTCAGAGACTGTCAGCACCACCACCACAACCCAGATCACCAAGGTACATGAAGCTCCGCCTAAACCTGCAATATCACGAAAGAATCTGCAATGTCTGCCTCTTAAAGAAGAACGGATTGATGTTAAATTATCATATTTAAGCACAATGTAAAATGTATAATAAGATGAGCACTTTCTGCAGAACATAATTGCAGAAAACTTTACAATATCCAACTTACAACTGATTTGCATGTGCTGCACACTGCAAGGTAGGGCACAATGGTGCCAAGAGGCTGCGAACGTGATAAAGCCGTTGTTAATTACAGTTTATGTCACCATTCCGCAGTATCTTTCCATTTCACAAAGTTAGTCAAGAATTGCCGTACTGCACAGATGAGATATTCGCTTCACTGTGTTTCTGGCTCTCTCATTCTCTCATTCTCTTCCCTTTCTCTGCTCAGACGGTGAAAGGCGGGATCTCAGAGACCCGTATCGAGAAGAGAATCGTGATCACTGGAGACACTGAGATTGACCATGATAAGGTGAAATGCACCTACAGTTAACGACCACGTCGGCCACACAGACGCAGAATGTTTTACAGACATTCTCATAGACAGCTTTTTATTGGGCAAAAATTTCCATACACCCTTGCGAAGGAGATTATGTCATCAATATTGGTCTATTTTGCTGAAAGAGAACAATTAAATGCATATATCTGCTAACAGATATATAAGACCTCAAAGCTAGCAAGCATGGATTAAAAGCCACAAAACTTCAATTCTGATTTCATGGGGCCTTTAAATGTGTAAGTTTAGTGGTCTGGTTGAAAACTGTCCTCTCTGCTCTCCAGGCTCTTGCTCAGGCTATAAAGGAGGCGAAGGAGCAGCACCCTGACATGTCTGTGACGAAAGTGGTGGTGCATCAGGAAACAGAGATCACCCCTGAGTAACTCCTGCATGAGACACAGGTTGGTTTCCTCCTGCACAACCTGACTGAATATTGGACTGGTGTCGATTACACGCACGATTACAGCTAGAGAGATTAATACTATATGCACATATTATTTTATTTTAGAAATATTGACGTTATCTGCATGCCAAATGACGTCTTACGGTAATGCTTTCTCATCGTCACTCAGCATGTTTTATTCAATTATGATCAATATAAGAAGCCAAACATTGGAAACATGAAGTGAGTGAGTGAAAAATGCTGCATGGTGAACTGGAAGGTGCAGTTTGCTAAAAGAGTAAAACCTGAAAAATTATGATTAATTAAACAAAAAAACATGCTTAAGTTAACCCTTGTGTGGTGTTCATATTTTTGTTATTCAGCCAGTGTTCGTGGGTCTGGTGGAGCCGCTGCATTTTTGGTTTTTTAATTCAACACAATCAAAAATTTTATGTTAAAATACTCAAGAGATGTTTACTTCATCCCAATTACAAGCAATATAAACAGCATTGTAACAACGTTCGTAGTTCGGGAAGAAGGAGGCGGGAACCGGCGAACATTCAAAGAAAACTTTAATAATAAAATAAACACAAAATAGCGCGACAGCCCCTCGCGGACGACTGTCGCGCACAAACAGAACCAAAACACAAAATAAAGTCCAGGCCTGGTTGGTGGACGGCCCACCGCTCCTCCGCCTCCTGGCGGATGGCGATGGCTCCTCCTGTTGAGTGCAGCCGGCAGCGAGTCCTCCGTTCCCCGCTCCTCCCCAATCATGGCGGACGGCAGCAGGCTCCGGCCTCCTGGCAAACGGGGCCAACTCCTCCGCTCCCTCTCGGATGGCAGCCACCCCTCCTCGACCCAGGAGCGCGGCAGCGAGCTCTCCGTCCCACCTCGTCTTCCATCGTTCCAGCACCTCCTGTTGCGCCTGGATGATGGCCTGGAAGCGTCGCTCCTGATCAGTCCGCATGTCCAGTAACGCTTGATGTTGCTCTTGATGGAGGACCGCGAGGGATGAAATGACATCCGCAAATGGCGTACTTGTCGGAGTTTGCATGACGGCGACGGCTCTCCTGCTTCCGTCCCGGGTTTCGGCACCAGTGTAACACGGAAGAAGGAGGCGGGAACCGGCGAACATTCAAAGAAAACTTTAATAATAAAATAAACACAAAATAGCGCGACAGCCCCTCGCGGACGACTGTCGCGCACAAACAGAACCAAAACACAAAATAAAGTCCAGGCCTGGTCCTCTCTCGTCTTTCACTGTCGTAACTACTCCTTTTATCCTTCCGGAGCTCCTCCGTGGAAATCGAGACCGGTGAGTGGTGCAGGTGTTGCTCATTATCAATTACTCCACCGGCCTCGCTCCGTTCCCACGGCTCTCGGCCCCGCCCCCACTCGTCACATACCCCCATCGCCCCTCGCAGGCCAGTGCTGTCGTCACTCCTCCTTTTATCCTTCCGGAGCTCCTCCGTGGGACTCGAGACCGGTGAGTGGCGCAGGTGTCGTGCATTAGCATTTACTCCACCGGCCTCGCTCCGTTCCCACGGCTCTCGGCCCCGCCCCTTTCGTCACAAGCATATATGGTTAATATTTGCCCTTTACCTTTGTTAGATCACATTTATGAATTAAAGTGTTACAACCTTGTGCGGGAACTCACACTTACATTCACACTTTCACAGACTCTCTCTCTCACACACACACACATACACATACTAATAGCAGGCCCAGACAGGAGGAGGACAGAGTGAAGGTACACAGGACCTAAAATTTCCACACTTTTATTAGCCCCGGGTCCAATGGACCCGAATATCCTGTATGTAATATAAATGTGTTGGGGGGGGTGGGGGGTGTACAGTGAGTGGTCATCGAAAATTTGTTCTGATAAATGTTCTTCACAGAAAATGAGCCAAGGCCAATGAGTCTGAGTTTGAAAAAAGAATTAATCATATCATTTTTCTTTTGATAAAAAATGAAAACGGTTCCCACAGACCCAAACACCATACAAGGGTTAATGAAAAGTTATTGTGTTATTTTTTTACCCTTTAAATAAAGAAATAACATATTTTTTAATTTTGTCAGCCAGTTGTTAACAGAAGACTGCTGTTAATATTCGGTGATACTGCATCAAATCTACAAAATAAGATCTGCTGCAGATATGCACATGTTTTGAAGATCTTATGGCCAAATTGCTTATATCCTCTGCAGTCTAATTACAGCATATTTTATTCATAAGGCTGACAAAAATACTACACTTCTGGATTTCTTGCTTTATTTGAAGTGCAAAAACGACTTGGCATGTTTTTCTTTCAAAAACAGAAAAATCCTTTCAAATCTTTTGTGAAAAATGTATAGAAATTAATTTTAGTTCCCTATCTGTCGGTCACTATGAGTTATGTCGTGACGACATTAGGGGTCTAACTTGGGGGCCCAATCATCTCTGGGTTTAAGAGAAAACACCAATTAAAATTGGCTAGTGGATTTTGCATGCTGAGCCACTTCCCGTGCACATGGGAATATAAGGCGACAGCGCGCATCCACTCATTAGATTTTTGCTTCGGAGCCGAGTAGTCTGTCAATCATTTACTACAAAGCCATTCATCTTTGTGTTGCGGAGGCTGTTCCTGGTTGGTGTTACGGCGCGTTACAGCGGTGTCCCTGTCAGCAGCGATTCCCCTGGGCACTTCAGCTAAAAGAGCAGTTTCCTCTAAAAGAGCAAATCACGGACGATTCCCGTCTTTTTCAAGATGCCGTTTCATCCGTGTCCTTCTGGATGCGATTCCTGTCCTCTGTCGACGGCCACGATCGCTGTCTTCAGTGTCTGGGCCTTCAGCACGCTGAAGCGTCGCTCGTGGATGAGTCATGCGTCTGTGGGCGTATGACCATGGCATCGCCTGCATTCCCCAGGTGGTGGGAGCGATTGCGGTGCACCTGTGCCCGCAAAACACTGCCACTTGGAGGAATCGTCCACGTCTCCCGTCCAAAGCCTGTAAACTGCCAAAGCTTACAGTGCTTACAGGGCCAAGCTGCCTCTGCCCTGCATGCCATGGCGATCCTGCAGGTGGATCGTGCTCACTTCCATCAAGGGGACCTCCAAGTGTTTTCGGTAAGTGAAGAGTGCCTTGTGTTCAGGCCGGCATACTCTCACGTTGTCCTGAGACCCCGGCTTGGATACGTGCCCAAGGCCACGCCCCCTGGGGGCGAGCTGCAGGCTGGGCGACAACTAACACCTTCGCAAGGTTTTACAACCTTCGGGTAGAGCCGGTTTCTTCCCGTGTGTTGGGTAACAGGTAATTGGCGGGAAGAACTGGCTCGGTGTCACGCTTGCTGCGCCATTCCCCCTCACACGGGGATGCGAGCGCCTTTCTTCTCCCAGTAGAGTTCCCCGGTTGGCGAACCCTGGTCGAGCATCCTCCAGCACCCCCGTCAGTCAGACTTGGCGGAGCAGTCTGACGCCAGGCCCAGTGCTGGTGTTAGCATGACCGGAGTCCCGGTTAGCCCCTGTACTGGACTAGGTGTCCATATGGCTTGATTCCCTACGGGTAATCCCATATGTGTATTCTTCCACGGTAAGGTTTACCTCTCTGTAAACCTGTGTCTTCCCTTGACAGACCTGCTCTGTCAGTCTCTTCTGGCAGTTGTTCCATCCCTACTCTAAGGTAGGACCTGCCTCAGAGACCCATTCCATATGTAGTACTGCCCCCTGGGTCAGTCCATATCAGTATCTCCACATCCATGTCACCTCCCTCGAGCTGAGTGGATGCCTTATATACCCATGTGCACGGGGAGTGGCTCAGCGTGCAAAATCCACTAGCCAATTTTCACTGCCGTTTTCTCTTAAACTCAGAGATGATTGGGCTCCCAAGTTAGACCCCTAGTGTCGTCATGACATAACGTCTCCGTTCCCTCCATCAGGGAATGAGGGTTACGTACAGTATGTAATCGAGGCATTATTTTCCACATAGAAATGGATAATGAATTTTGGTATGAGGGTGTCAACGTGGTTTCAAGATGATTTCATGTCAAAAAGACCCTGTTTTAAGGATATACATTTCAGATATATGGTTTCATCCAATAACATGCTTTCGCTTAAATATTGCATGTAGTGAATGTCTCTAGCAAAGCATTGATACAATAATGTATTTGTACAGCAGCAGTGATATCGCCTTCTCTCCCTCTGCGGCCCAGACCTTTTAGTGTAGCTCTCCAATAGCACTGGAGTTTGATGGGTTTATGGCATGTATTTAAAGCTCTTCTCTCATGGGCCATACAGCCACACCATCTCCAATGATACATTAAACTCATTACAGCATTTCTGAGATTTTCTCTTTTAAAAGCAGTGATGAAATTGCTTACCATTAAAAACAAACGAAGATCCCTTAAAAATATGGTAACAACAGAAACCCTCCGTTGCAAACCTCATACTGACAGAAAGAAGTGCATAGGATCCCAGAGAATTAGACATAGACACTTAAGCTGTATGATTTACTGTCACCATTAACTGTGCTCCAATAAAAACCTCAATCCCTTAGAAAGCACTGTTATACTGCCATATTTACAGCCGTTATACATGCTTGTAGCAGAGTCGGCGACATTCAGCACTTAAACATTCCAGTTCAGCTCTAGAATTTCAATTGAGGTAGCAAAGAGGATGCAGAATCTAATTTAATATTAGAATTTATTAGATATTAGATGATACCTCATATTAATTAGATGACATTAGATGATATTAATATTCTGTGTTGTTAATGCCACCTATAGAAATTTGTATTCAATTTATTTTACTATCTTTAATAAATTACTATTTATTTTTTGGCCCATGATGAAGAAAAGTGTTATTTTAGTTTTTTTTTTTTAAATAGTATTTACAAAAATGTTGAATTAACTTTTATTTAATATTTTCAGTTTTCATTTAAATTTTAGTAATTTTGTTATGTGCTTTTGTCATTTTTATTAGTTTTTTTAGCTTTAAATATTTATTTTAATGTATATTTATTTCAGTTTTATATTTCTTTTCAGTAATTTTAGTACTTTAACTTATTTTTATTGCTTATTTTCATAAGCCTTTTTAAATTTTTCATCTAATATGCATATTTTATTTTATTTCAGCTTTTTTTTTTATTAACAAAATGGTTTTACTTTTAGTTAACAGAAACAACACTGATAAAGACCAACACTTCATTTCCAGAATCATTTAATTGACCCGAAAAAATGTCAAAACTGAGTCAAACATTAAAATAAATAAGTATATACATACATACATACGTAATCAACAGAATGTTTGGATTTTTGGACTGCTTTTGATCTGTTATGTTAATTGTTTAGACTGTATAGAACTTGGCTTAGAGAAATGTGCAATAAAAAATGAAAAACAAGTCCAGAAAGTGAAGCGTCTCAGCATTAAGACTCTAAATGTGGGCCTTTTAGACTGTTTGTGTGAGGCATTGGGCGTCTGGTGCTGTTTAACCAGGGTGGTATGTATACAGACACAGAGCTCCCAGAGGATAATGGGTAATGCTGCCCTGTTAGTTTGTTCCCACAGTGCCCTGTTTTGTGCGTGCAGAGACCCAGTTCACCGCATTCGCCCCGTTAATGTTTACTTCACTTTCTTTCACTCAGCCAGAGAGTATTTACCATCCACCATTATTTCCATGTCGCTTAGGTCTACATGCCGCAGGCCATCCCGGTTTTCGTCACTGACTCGTCACCCGTTTGGGATGTGTTTACTTTTTGCCTTACCAGAAATGCTGTCCTGTTTTGTTTGTCTCGGATGATTGTTGATCTAGCTTTGATCTCACATCAACGCAGGGTGAAAAAACGGGACCAGTCGGGTTTATGAATGTTAAAAAACAACGCAAGATCCCTCACATCCAACCTCCTACCATCAACCCACCGAGTTCCCCTCACGGACAAACTCTTCCTGTAACAGCGCATGTCCCACCCAGCTATTGCCATCTGAGACACCACTTTCCAGACCCTAAACATCTGTCAGATTTCAAGCGTCGTACAGCAAACTGAGCATCCAACATCTACTCCAGAAGCAGAATTCAAAGACCAGTTCTCATCCACTTCTCAACACCTCGGACAGACTTTTTCCAAAAATCCTGCCTGACCTCCACCACATCAAAGACATTCCATGACGGACTGAACCATGTTTTCTAAAACAGTGGCTAAAGAGCAACTTTTTATCTCAAATTCATACGGTATTTTTGGGGTGGATTCCAAAGGGATGGTTCACATAATAACAACTGGGCGGTGGGAATTTTCTAAAGTGTCAATTTGTTGTCGTTTAATTTTTTACACAAAATACTGTTCTTTTTAGCAGCATCATATGACCCCTTTAATTTAATATTTTTTGTTGTTGTTGCAATTGGTTGATTATCTGTCACAATCTGAAGAATCACAATCTGAAACACTTAAAGGGGATGTTCACCCAAAATTCAAATTCATCATTTAGTGATGCAAAGCTATATCTTAGCATTTTCTTTTCTCGATGGAACAAAAAATTTGAAGTTTAGCAGAATATTCACGCTGCTCTTTTCCATTCTTTTTCAAGAAATTTGAAGACTTAAATTTAGGGAAAGTTCACCCAAAATTTAAAAATCTGTCATCATTTACTGATATGTGATATACTGATATATGTCGTTCCAAACCAGTATGACTTACTTTTTGATAGATATTTTGAAAAGACATTTTTTGATAATCAGTAGTCACCAAAACTGTTTGATTACCGACATTCTTCAAAATATCTTCTTTTGCGTTCCATGCGTCATACAGGTTTGTAATGACATGGTGGTGAGAAATTGAGGATTTTATTTTATATTTATTTTTTGGTGAACTATCCCTTTAAGTTGCTGTCATTCTCTAATTTCTTTTCTGGCCACTTGCATTCAAATTTGGCAGGTTTAAAGTCAATGTTTGAACATGCAAATAACATTTAAGTATTGCTGAGGAGGGGAAAATGTCAGTGATTACATTTCAATTGTTCCTTACACAAAACTATCATATGACTATATAGGATTTAGGTTTATGGTGCATGAGGCACATGACTGCTTTTTTCCACACTTTTATGGTGTTCATTTTTTGGAACTAAACAGTCCCGGGCCCCTTTCGCTTTCATTGTATGGAAAAGAGCAGCCATGAACATTCTGCTAAACATCTGAATTCCTCAGAAGAAAGAAAAGTTTGGAAAGTACATGGAGAATAAATGACAGGATTTTCATTTTTGGGTGAACTGTTCCCAATCCAGAATACATCATGTTGTAAAGTCCCATATTTTATGTTCCTCTTAAATGTGAAAGTATTATTTTGTTCTCATGTGATGTAAAATAATGTGTTATTTTGATTCAGAATGCTGGAGCAATTTCAGATGTTCTCTCGTGTTTTAAAGTTACATTACTTGGCATATTTGGTGAAGGCTTGAATAATTTTTGTTTTGTTTTGTTGGTAATGTTGTCCTGTGTCATCGTGGATTGGGGGTCCAATGAAGATGGGGTGAAACTACACTCTATGATATTTCTATTTATTTTCATCAGTTTTGTTTCTCGTTTGTGTGTGTACTTTGCATTTTAGATGCCCTGCTCTCTTAAATTCAGCTTTGATGTTTTGTATTAGATCCAGAATCCCAAACACCAGCTCCCGCCAGTTTTTAAATGGGATTTGCAGGGATAACTCTGCTCATTTTCAGTATATTTCTACTTTTCTACTAGAGGGGGCAGTATGTTCTTACCCATGAGGTCTATAGCAGATCTGCAAAGCCTTCAAAACGAGCATCCACACACAACCTGAAGTGGTTTTAGATGAATTGGAATCGATTAGCCATGAACGGAGCTAATTAGCAATTATGGTAATTAATTGTGAAAGCAATCAGACGGATTCTACAGCAAATTAAAATGAGTCTCAGTCATTCATTGAGACATTCAAATGACTTTAAAGGTCAAGACTGACAATTCAGGTGCGGTAATTCAATTCTAGAAAATCAAAGTGGGAAATTGAGGATTTTATATTGTGCATCAACACTGCCGATGGCGTAAAGCGTACTGCCCCACGTCAAACTGACGAGTCCAGCGCGTCCTGTTTTTAAATGTCTATTTTACAATGTTAAGCTTTTATAATAGTTCAAATAGTATCCTGTACAGAGACCGAGGTGTTGTAGTTCGTTCAGTATGTTGTTTTCTTCATTGTGGCACTCCTTTCCTATGCTAGTCTGGGGTGAGGAAAAGAAAAGAATCGTACGTTTTTCCTCAGAGGTTCTTTTTCTTCTCCTCGCACCCCTCTTTCTTTTGTCATCACTGAAAAAATGTACAATATAGCACCATGCACTGAATAAACTCCAACTTAGACACATTCTTCACACTGTTTCATGAGTGTTTGTTATTCACGACTTTCTTAATACACGTTGTCTTATGAGTGTTTACTTTGTGCATGTTATTACATTCGTAATGTTTGATTAAAATAGCCAACACCCATTTTACACAATCCAGTCAATTCCCAACAGATAAAAAGTTCCCCGTTAACACCCTGTTTCACGGAAACAAGTCATATTACAGAAGTAAAATGGGATGTAAATGTGATCTACCTCATGTAAATTTGATGTCATGGTTCTCAGTTGCAGACTCCTGATAACGGTTTAATAATTTTTGGTAGTTTTTAAAGAAAAAACTCAACATAGTAACCTAGAAATGACCCAGAAATGTTTTCTGCATTGAGCTGCTGCTCTGTCATGCAGGCGCTCACATGTGTGTGAAACAGGCCTAGCTCTCCTCAAATGAGCGCTGCATTTTTATCACAGGTTGTGCTTTATTACCAGTGTTTAGCTTGATGAAAGCAGGCTGCAGTTAATGACTTTGATTGCAGTGGATTCGCTCATAACCCTGGAGACGGGCTGAGATGAGCTTCCACAGGTGGTGTGAACACAGAACGACACTACAGAGTCCAGAATAAAACAGGATTTACCAGCAAGGTCATAGAGAAAATTGGAAGAAAAAAAATTCAGCTGGAAATCACAGTGGTCTGCTGTTAAAACAGAGAAATATTGCAGATTTTCTTGTCTTTGCTTCATACTTGCATCATGCATATATGTTTCAGTTTAGTTGCCTAAAAATGGACGACACGACTGATGGGGCTGTCGAATAAATTCATTACAATGCATTTAGGGTTCTTACTGGCCAAAACATTATATTTAGATTTTTTTGTACCTAAGACTATGACATAACATCATTTATATCAGGGTCAGACTAAAATTCATACAGTAGGCTAGTTTCTGATTACTTTGTTTTATTCATATTTGGAGCTTGGAGGGTGTTAATTTTGCACCCTATCCCAATTCACGTTCTATTTATTTAACATGTAAGATTGGATGTAGTGCATACCAAATCATAGTATGCTGAAAATAGCATGACAAGGCATAAAGCAATAAGGATAGAAATATGTAAAACTGCATTTCCCATCAAGCACAAGGAAGATAAAATGAAAATAATACATCATTTACACACCTAATGTGGATAATTTACTTTTTATTTTGTCTTCATTTAATCATGTCTTCGTTGGGAAGTCAAAATGAGAGAAAGAATTAGAAAATTACTCTTTTTTTTCCCCCAAAATAAATCATTAGAACTTACTGTTAGCGATGGTTTTGCTATTAGGATTTTGCTTGTAAGTAAAGGCAAAGTCCCAAAACTCGTCAACCAAGCTTACTCAAAAGTAGCCTAGTGGAGTACAAAAACTGTCAGAAAAGTGAAAATGCTTCTATTTTTTTGAATTGCAAATGATTTTATATGTATTAAAAAAGACCTGAAAAATGAACATGAATTCCTTTGTACTTGGTTTGTCCCTCTTTTGCTTTAATGACAGAAGAATGGACTCCACAAGTTGGTACAAAGACATTCACATGGTCAGTGTCACATTTGATTATTGAACTACAAATAGTGCAGATTCTTTCTTTGTGAAGTGCATATTATAAATGCTAATTAGAACACAACTTTAATGTCCCATGTTCTTTGATAGCTGCTTATTCCACTTGAGATATCATATAAAGATGTTCTGATCATGTCAGCCGGAGCGTCTTGTTGTCTTCAGTCTGTCAGAAGGGATCAGGGAGGAATATTGTAAATTATGTGAAAAATAATGCATTTTTTAAAAAACGAAGCATTAACACATGTTAGACTGCACCCCATAAACACAATCAAGCCTAGAAAAAAAACAGTGAACCACCCCTTTAAAATGTAGTTCCAACCCGATCTCATGAGATCATACGAACAATCATAAGAAACATATGATTTGTAGAAAAAAGCATGAAGCTCCACCTATAAACCTAACTGTCAGTGGGGCGTAGGCAGATCGTACAAAAACGTATGAATGAGATCATACAAAGTCATACAAATAGTTATGAATTGCAGTGAGATTGTGTTTTGTAATTTTTTTCCTACAATCAGTCTGACACCAGATACATACTTTACACAAGACTGTACGGGGGCAGTTGTGGCCTAATGGTTTAACGTCTGTCTTGTAACCTGAAGGTTGCGGGTTTCGAGTCTCAGGTCCGGCAGGGATTGTAGGTGGGGCGAGTGAATGACCAGCGCTCTCTCCCACCTTCAATACCACGACTGAGGTGAAACCCTTGAACAAGACACTGAACCCCCAACTGCTCCCTGGGTGCCACTGCAAAAATGGCTGCCCACTGCTCCGGGTGTGTGTGTGTGTGTGTGTGTGTGTGTGTGTGTGTGTGTTCATTACACACTGCTGTGTGTGTGCACTTGGATGGGTGAAATGCAGAGCACAAATTCACGTCATGTCACAGTTGATGTAAATATGTTTACATGACATTGTAAACATTTTCATGACAACGATGTACTAAAACAGGAATTTCCTTTTTGCGTTTTTACGTTTAAGTAAAGATGCAATGTTGTTCACATGGATCCGCGAAAACAACGTATTATTCATTCCAGGCCAGTACTGTAGATGGTGAAGTCACTTTGTAAAGAAACACTACATGTCTGCGCACATACATATTCCTGTAGACTGAACACTCAATATACATGTACATGACGTTACAGTTTTCACAAGTTTGCGTTTTCGTAGTTTACATGGACATCTTCACACACAGACGAAGCTCACTAGAGAAGTGTGACATAATATACCTCTGTAAATAAATACAGTTTAAATTCACATCTCGCGTACTTTAATGCCCTTTGAATGGGACCTATACATTCTCTTCGAACTGGAATCATAGCAGAATATCCTGTGATGTCCACTTCACAGGGCACTTACGGTCAAATAGAACAAACATCTGAAG